GGCCGGGCATGGTGACTCACGCCTGTAATCCCAGCACTTTGGGAGGCCAAGGCAGGCAGATCACATGAGGTCGGGAGTTCAAGACCAGCCTGGCCAACATGGTGAAACCCCATCTCTACTAAAAATACAAAAAAATTAGCCAGATGCGGTGGCACACATGCCTGTAGTCCCAGCTACTCAGGAGGCTGAGGCTTAAGAATGACTTGAACCTAGGAGGTGGAGGTTGCAGTGAGCTGAGATCGCACCACTGCACTCCGGCCTGGGCAACAGAGTGAGAGACTCCATCTCAAATAATAACAATAATAATAACAATAATAGTAATAATAATAATGTAAAGTAAATCCAGACTGTGACGGGTTTAAAAAACACTACAGGTAAATAAAAATGGGGAAATACAAATCATAACTTATATACATCTTGCTTTACTGAAATCATTTATTCATTTTTGGTTTCAGTGTGAAAACATGGATAGTATTGGCTGAATATATATATCTTCCACGAGATAAAAGATACTCTGAATGTAGAACTTTCAAGAGGGTGAGAGACAGAATAGCTCTTGGACTCAATTTGACAAATGCATCTCATCCATTTTTACAACCAAGAATAAAAATAATTGAGTGGAGAGCCAATTATTTTCTACCCCAATCTTTGTATCATTCCTCCATCCCATTTTTATGATTGGATATATTTTCTTATTTCTTGCCTTTCTGGTGTAAATATTATATACACATATGTATATATTATTATATATACATAATATACTTATATATGTACATATACTATTTGTATAAATTTATTTAATATAATTATATAAGTATATTATATAACACATCATATATTTCATGTCAAATTAAATATTTAATAAATATATTTATATACCTGCGTACATATACACACACTTATGGTTTTACATATTTTATCTCTCTAATCCTCCCTGTCTGCACAGCCCATCCTAGACACACATCTACACACTCGCACCTCCTCCCCATAACTCCATTCATGCCCCTGGGCTTTCTCACATTCTCCACAAAATTTTCAAGGCCACGAGTCCCTGAACCAATGCTGGTTTCCCTCCATCAGACTTTGCGTCTTGCCTAATGAACCTGAAACTAATAATTCATCAATTCATTTACTTTCTGGCCTTTTCTTCAATTTTCTTGCCATCTTCTCCTTCCATTCTACTTTCCCTGTATTGCTCCAAGAGTATCAGTCCACACGTTTGATTCTTTATTTTACTCCATATGGAACTGCCACTTTATTTCGATTATGGCTCAGTGATCTCCTCCTATTCCCCTGAGAGGCTCATAATCTAAATGTTTGCTTCTTTCCTCAGCAGGTAACCCAGATTTACATCTTAATGAAGAAATCAAGATCATCAAATAAGAAATTTCTCCCAATACTTTCTGCTGTGTGCTGCTATTCATTCTTCCTTCTTTCTGATTTGGTGAGGTAAAAGTATGTATCTTATAATATAAGGTTTTTGACTATTCTTAAGGACCCATATGTTTTTACTTCTAGAGAGACATCATCCCCACCACTACTTGGTCTTCAACTTCCCTGCCCTTCCTCCTAAGCATCTAAACCAGCTCAAATGTCTGTTATCTTTGAAAACCTTTGCAACTCCACAACCTCCTCTGTCCTTCATTCTCTTTCACATCAAGGATACTTGAGAGAATATTTCTATATTCCCCTCTTCTTCATCATTCATTTATTACCTCTTAAGTGTGCCTCTTGCCACCTTAAATCTGCTGAGTACTTTAGACAGGTGATCAATGGATGGCCATGTTGTCAAAAGCAAGGGAAACCTATTTCATGCTTTTCTTACTCAATTATCTTGGAAGCATTTAAAACTGTTACTTTTTCTTCCTGAAAATTCTTTCCTTCATCACATACCTAATGCCTCATTTTCCTGATTTTTTTCCTTGAAATCTGTTTCCCTTTATTGCCTTCCTTGACTCCATTTACCTGAACTCCCTTGGCTTTTACATAAAAGCAAAGGGCTCTGACATAGGTCCTTTCCTCTGACATTCTATACAAGAGCTAGCAAACATATGGGTATACAATGATACTCCCCACTCCTACACACATACCATAACAACTTACATCCCAGAAATTCACCAGAGTAGGCCGGGCACAGTGGCTCATGCCTGTAATCCCAGCACTTTGGGAGGCCGAGGCAGGTGGATCAACTGAGGTCCGGAGTTCAGGACCAGCCTAACCAACATGGAGAAACCTCATCTCTACTAAAAATACAAAATTAGCCGGGCATGATGGCGCATGCCTGTAATCCTAGCTTCTGAGGAGGCTGAGGCAGGAGAATCTCTTGAACCCGGGAGCCGGAGGTTGTGGTGAGCTGAGGTCGTGCCATTGCACTCCAGCCTGGGCAACAAGAGCAAAACTCTGTCTCAAAACAAAACAAAACCAAAAAAAAA